CAGCGCTGTGAAGCTGCCACGGCCCCTGCAGCCGAGTCCAGCCCCGGCCAGGGGGTGGCCCCCAGGGCGCAGCAGGCCCTCCGCCTCCCCGCTGCCCCCCAGCAGTGGGTTTCAGTGGCTCCCCTGGTCTGCTCCCCACGCGGTCCCTGGGGAGTCCTCTCACCCCGCACCGCTGGCCTGCGCCCCAGTCCTGTGTGTCCACATAGATCTTTAAAAAAGGAAAAGAAAAATCGTCTCAGTTTCACCTCCCGGGCCTGACCGCCTTTCACTTTGCTCCTTTCTTTCATGTCTCCGCCAGACCCGGAAAGACCATCGGAAGTACTTCCGGGCAGGGGCCACCCTCACCCTGGCCAACTTCATCTTCAGGAGCACAGTGAGTGGGCCGCGAGGCCGAGGCTGCAGGAGGGAGGGGCAAGCTCGGAGGCTGAGCTGCCTCGGTTTCCCCCTGGAGCTGCTGCCGTTGCACGGGCCGAGTTAAACCTCGGGACAAGGGCAGGTTGTTTGGCGGCCAGAGCCTGGCACGGTCGCCCCCGCACCCCACTCCTGGCAGGAGGGGGAGCGCCGCAGCGCCCGCCCAGCTGACCACTATGAGGGCCACATAGTTGACTGACGCAGCCTTCCGGGCCCACTTTAGGGCTGGGGTGAAGGTGGGGGCTCACGTTCTCCTCGTGTCCCCTTTGATATTATCGCAGGAGAGTGAGAATTAAATCCCAGCAGGGACATGTCTTAATTCAGAAAAGCCGTGTCTGGCCTGCGCATCCAAACGGTGGGCAGCACCAGGGAGAAGAAAGCGGGTCCAGAGAAGGCGGCCCGGAGACACCCCAGACTCCCTTGCGGCGCTGGGGGGAGCCAGACAGGGAAGCGAGCACTTCCAGTGCCACCCCGGGAGGTCTTGGGCGAGGCCTGGGCCGAGCCTCACCGGGCCTGTGCGCCCGCCCGCGTTGACCTCCGAGGCTGTCGGGTGCTGCAGGTGTGTGTTCAGACCGAGCCGCACGTGTTTGCAGACCCTCCTCCCTGCGCTGGGAGCCGAGCTGAGGGGTGGGCCTGGGCCTCGTCACCAGTGAGGACCTGGCCCTTCATTGCCCCCATGGGCCCCTTCCCTGCCGCCCTCTCCCGACCTGGCTCAGGCTGCGTGTGTCCCCACACATCAAGCCTGCGCTCTCGCCCTCTTCTCCCACTGGCCCCTGTCCACCTGCCTTCACCTGCGCCTTGTCAGGCATCCGCTGAATCCCCAGGGGCAGCTGGGCTCGGCCCGGCGTCAGTGAAGCTCACTCTCCACAGGCCCAGCTGCCGGGGCCTTCTGACAAGTCTATAGTTTGTCATTGCTGTGACGATAACTAATGCTGATACCTACCACTTTGGAGGAACATTGCTCTATGCTAAGCCCTTTGTATGTGTTTATTATTTTTTAAACGATTTACTTATTTATTTACTTTTATGCATACAAGAATGGGGTACAGACCAGAGGTGCAGGGATGGAAAGATTCCCCAGAGACAGAGTGGGGAGCAGAATAGGGGGATCCACTGAAATATACTGCTGCAGGGAGCAGCGGGGAGACAGGAGGGGGCTGCTGCGCCCTGGGGTCCCTCCCTGGCCGGGGATGGAATTGGAGCCGCAGTGGCTGCAGACAGCTTCCTCGTGCTGAGACTGAACCCCCGCCCCACCAGGGGGGCCCTGTATGAATTCATGCCAGTGACCCTGTGAGGTAGGCCCTTTCCTTGCCTCCGTCTCATAGGTAAAATACTAAGGCCCAGGAAGGTTGGGTGACTTGCCACGAGTCCCACGCTGGTAGGAGGCAGAGTTGGGATACCACCTATTTGACTCTTGAACTCTGACCACTGCCTAAGGCTGACCGCTCCAGCCACAGCCTCTCCCCAGCAGAAGCCTGGGCAGCCCAGGACCTGTGACCCCGGTAGGCCCGGGCCAGGAGGGCTGCACAAGGGAAGAAAGAATGTTCTAGCTCTAGAAAAAGAAACAGTTCAAAAGAGGCTCCACGTCAATCAGGACATGGGAAGCACTTAGGCGAGTTTATTAAATTCAATCAGACCAGACCAAGGACTGGGCCCCGGGGTCCTTAGAGGCTTCGGGGTCCTGAGCTTCTCGACCAGCTGCAGAGACTCAGACAGCTCCTGAGGGTGTCGCAACACCCTGCTTGTGCTGCCTTTTCCTCCGTGTTCTTACTCTAATGTCTTAATAAAATTGTTCATAAAAATCTGGAAGTGCTGGAGGTCCAGGCGTTTTCCCTAGCTTTAATAATCCTGCCCCATAAACAGACAGGGTGCTAGGTGTTCCCTGGGGTATAGACTTGGCATCTTGTTCCAGCCTGGGGAAGGCTACACAGTTAAAGGCCCCTGGCGAAACGCGATTGGATCCTGGAGCAGGACAGCTAAAAACAAAGCTGAGAAGGACATTTGTAGGGGTTTTAAGGACACATGGAGACATTTGTGTGCGGTCCTGTCGGGTGAACGCGTCTAATCTGATTTTCTCAGGTGTGGGGTGGAATCTGACGGTACAGAATGTCCCAGGTTGTGGCCATGCACACGGAGGCTGTAGGGGAAACGTCACGATGTCCTAACTTACTTTTGGCGATACCACAGCACAGATCTGCGTGAGCCTGTGTCTGGCATTCGGCTATCATTGTGCGTGCGTGTGGCCTCAGAGGGGGGAGGCCCAGGCGGGCAAGGTGCTGACACCATTAGCCAGTGAATTCAGGCAAGGGGAGTGCGGGCAGCTTACCTGCCGCAGTGTTTTTGAAAACTTTGAAAATGAGAAGAGAAATGGTGCTAAATTAAAACAAAAAACCTTAGGTCAGACGCTGTTACTCTTCTCCTTGATTCTTGCTGATGGTGTCCCTCAAGGCAGAGGTACAACGGCTACTCAGCTCACAGGAGGAGGGGCACCCGGCCTAGGGGGTGGGGAGCTGAGGGGGCTTTGTGCTGGCGGAACCTCAGGAACCTCAAAGGGCAGAGCGCTGGGCTCCGGCTGGGCGGGGCTGACAGCAGTCCTGGTTGGCCGGTGGGCCAGGCACCGCCCTGGCCAGGGCTCTGAGTGCGGCTCCAAGCGTCGGCTGGACTGACAGGCAGGCGGAGGCCCAGCGCTTGTCCAGCATCTAAGGCAGCGGCAGGTGGCGGGGCCTAGAGACAGGAAGACGCAGGGCAAAGTGTCCGGGCCAGGTCTCACGAGGTCTCCCACCGCCCCCCGGGCAGGGCCCCCCAGCAGCCCCCCTCTCCTGTCCACCTCCCACTGGGCGCGCCTGTCTGGCCTCCAGCCTTCGCTTCCCGCTGACCGGCTCCAGGCGACGCCCTTCCATCACCGTTCTCACCCTGGGAGCCCCGCGGAGGGGCGGGGTCTGGGTGCCGTCTGCCTGCGGGCAGGACTGGCTCCTTTTCATGGTTTCACGTCCATCCCAGGTTCAGAAATTCCTGCTGGGCTTGAAGAATAACCTGCCGTCCTGCAACGTCCTGGACAAGCAGTGGCCAGCCGCCCCGTACCAGTACCTCAGCACAGCAAACCAGGAGCTGCGGCGCCTCTTCCACCAGTGGAGGGTGAGCGGGGCTGGGAGCCTCGCGTCTCCTCTCTCCTCCCTCCCATTTTCCTTGTCTGCCTCCCTCTTCTTCCTTTTCTTTTCATTTTAAAAAAGCCGTGGTAAGACAGGGCGTCCCTGGCGGCGCAGGGGTGAATGCTCCCCATGCTGAACCCCCTGCACCCCTAGCCTGTACCCCAGCTCTTGTACGCATAAATAAATAAATCTCAAAAATCGCGGTGAGGCCTCCCTGGTGGCGCAGCCGGGGAGGACGCAGCGCTGCAAGCTGCCACTGCTTTTTATCTCTTTAAATAGTTGAAGGTTTACTTATTTATGCACACAAGAGCTGGGGTGCAGGCCAGCGGTGTGGGGATGCGAGGATTTCAGAGACAGTGGGGAGCAGGACAGGCGGATCCACTGAAACCCACTGCTGAGGGGGCAGTGGGGAGACAGGAGGGGGCTGCCGCGCCCTGGGGTCCCTCCCTGCCCGGGGATCGAACTCCTGCTGCAGTGACTGCGCCAGCTTCACTGTGCTGCACTTCACTGCTTGCTTTTTAGTTTTTTTAAGATTTACTTATTTATATGTAGAAGATGGGGTGCAGGCCAGAGGTGGGGGGGTGAGAGGATTCCCCAGAGACTGAGTGGGGAGCAGGACAGCCGTACCCAAGGAAATCCGCGGCTGGGCTGCGCGGCCACAGGGTCTTGCTGACGTAAACCTATGCCCCCAGTGAGCCAGGGCTTTTCCCTGCAGTGTCCCTCCCTCCTCGGGTGCTCTCTCGCCACCTCCAGCCCAGCCCTGCCCTCTCGGTGAGAGGCTTACCCTCCCACGGTCCCCTCACAGTGCAAGAAATTCCGGGACCAGCTGAGTCCGAAGCAGGTACAGACCCTGAAGGAGAAGGCCTGTGCCAGCGAACTGTTCAAGGACAAGAAGGCCTCGTACGCCCAGAGGTGAGGCCGCCGGGCCCTGTGCGGTGTCTCCCAGAGGCACAGGGGACCCCCCGGGTGTGGCAGACCCCAGACGTGGCCTGCGCCAGGCTTGCTGATGATTCCCAGATTGCTGGGGGGTTATGCTCCGAGACCCTCTGGGGTAGAGAATGGGGGTGCTGGGCCACCAGGAGGGAGTCCCTGGGGGTGGCGTAGTCCTGGCCTGGGGTCTGTGCCAGCACCTTCTCAGGCGAGCTTGTCTCCTCAGCGTCCCTGTGCCGTTCCGCGGTGACTACATCGGGCTGCAGACTGACCCCAAACTGCAGAAGCTGAAGGGCGGGGAGGAAGGGCCCGTTCTGATGGCAGAGACTGTCAAGAAGGTCAATCGTGGCAACGGCAAGGTGAAGTCCCCCTGTGCCCCCAAATCCGGTCCGGAGTCCTGGCCGGGCAGCTGGAACACAGCTGGCTTTCCCTCTGCTGAAGCTTACTGTCATTTTTTGGAGTTTGTGGGTTTGGAGAGCGGGGTCCTTGGCTTCCCTCTGGGAAAGGTGTCCCAGAGCTTCCCGACAGAGACATGTAGGAGCAGATTATCAGGGAAAAGGGCAGACAGAGAAGGCACTTGCAGAGACACAGCCGGCAGGAAGAGCTGCCCCAAAGGGACAGGTTCGCTGAGGGAGGCCTGCGTGTGCAGGCGGGCGGCCTGAGGGGAGCTGCCTCGCTGAGAGGTCAGTGCAGAGACGCCGGGCAGGTGCAAGTCTCTGCTGGCCTGAGGCGCTGCCCTGCGGAGGGAGAGGGGGTGAAAAGGAGCCCTGCCCAACCCCAAGGTGGGCTGGAGGCCAGGCTGAGGCTGAGACTGCCCACACAGACTTCTTCTCTTTGTGAGCCTGGATGTGTTGATTTTGAATAAATTATGTAAAATCTGAAAGGGACTGGAGATTCCACAACAAGCTCAATCTCCATACCTTTGCCTTTCACCTTTTGGGTCTGCTCCCTGCTTAGACTTTAAGCTTTGTCTCAGGGCTTGGGCCTGAGGAGCTTGGTTTCTATAGGTCAGTGGCTGTGCTGACCCCTCCAGCCCCTTCCAGGGAGTCAGTCGGGGTGCCACCGCCTTTCAGTCCTTGGGCTGAGCCCAGGGCCGGAGGGGCCTGACACCCCTTCCCTCACCCACACCTGTTCACCCCCAGATGGCTTCTCGCATTCTCCTCCTGACCAAGAGGCACGTGATTCTCATAAACGACAAGAAGTCGCAGGACAAAGCTGTCATCGGGCTGGACAGCTTGACTGGAGTGTCGGTCAGCAGCTTCAAGGACGGGCTTTTCAGCCTGCATCTGAAAGAGGTTCAGGGCCAGGCCTCAGACCCAGCTGTGGGAGGCCGGGGGCTGCGGTGGGCTGGCGGTGATGCAGCGTCCACTCGGTTCTCTCCTCCCTTCCTAAGATATCATCGGTGGGCTCCAAGGGGGACTTCCTGCTGGTCAGCCAGCACGTGGTTGAGCTGCTGACCAAACTCTACAGGACGACACTGGACGCCACCCAGACGAAGCTCCCGGTCTCGGTGACTGATGAGTAAGGCCACCGTGCTGGGGCAGAGGGCTCCGGGCAGATGACCAAGCTGATGGTCGCTGTGACCCGGAAAGTCTGTGTCGCCAGAACGCTGGAGTCCTTAGCCCAGCCCAAGTCCTGGACCTGTGGATGGGGGGGGGGCGGGCTTGGGGGCAGACGGGGGGGGGAGCGGGGTGTGTGTGGGGGCGCTGGAGTGGGGGGACACGGGCGTGTGCGCTTGCCTCAAGGAGAGGGAGTGACGTCCAGAAAACTCAGGGAGTAAAGTGAGGGCGCCAGCTTTGTCTTTTCTGTCTGCTCCCCAGGTTCTCAGTGAGTTTCAAGGAGGGCCAGGTCAAGGTCAAGGTCATCCAGGGCCCCGGGGGTGGCGGGGGCAGCAAGGTGACCTGCAAGAAGAGAGGGCACCAGAGCCTGCAAGTGACTGTGTCGTGAGAGGTGGGTGCCGCGGGCAGCCGTGCTTCCTCCTGGACCGGACCCCCCAGCCCCCCAGCCTGAGGGAGGGTCTGGGGCTCACCCGCTGGCCGCGGGTTGAGGCCCAGACTGAAGAGCCCTTGAAAACGACCTTTCTTTCGCAGACCTTCCCGCCTTCTCTTCCGACTAACTTCTGTCTACGCTCCGTCTCTTGCCCACTAATAAAATCAGTGACTTCCCAAAGGTCTGGTCAGTGTGGGGGGGTCCTGTCCCCCATCTTGTCATCCACTTGTGTCCCCCAGGTTCCTTGGAGGCAGCAAATGCAGCTAATAAGAAAGGAGGACGGGAAATTGTCCCTGGGCTCCTTGAGCGGCTGAGCTGGGCGGGCAGCGCCGGGCAGCCGGAGGGTGGGCTCCGGCCGCAGGTGGCTCATTAAGCCTGTGTCGGGGGAGGAAGTGAGAACCCGACTCGCTGGCACTTGGGGGCCTTTGGAATCTTAGTCGGAGATGAGGCCCCGGCTGGAGGGTCCCTGCGGTCTCAGGGAGCCGCAGCATGCGGGGTCCCTGCACAGGAGGGCCCCACTGCGCTCCGGCCCCCCCCTTTGCTTCCTCACACCTGCCCGCTCCCCTCCCCCGCACTAATTTGCTAGTGGCCCCACAGCTGGGCGCTCGGGGCTGGTCCTGGCAGAGGCCCCCCCGGTGGCTGGCCCCTTCCTTCTGGTGTCCGTTTACCGTTCCTGGGTCATCGTCCTCATTTTGCTCGGTTTCCGACATCTGGCACCGCCGGATTGTCCCCGTTCTGTGGGCTCTGCCCAGCGTGAACATGATGTGTGCAGGAGCCCCGTGACCTCGCCCACAGTCCCCTCTCGTAGCCGGAGCGAGCTCTGGCTCTGCGGCCGGGAGAAGCGGCTCCTTAGTTTGTCCCCCGGTTTGTGTCCCTTTCCCCATCCCAACCTTGCCGCCCGCCCTTGTCTCCTCGCCAGGCCCTGAGGCTCGGGGCCCTGAGCTGGGGGAAGCTGGAGGGCCGGGGTGGGGGGCCCTGACCAGGTCTCCCTCATCTCGGTGGGCGGGCGGGCAGCTCGGCCCGGGCCGTCATCCCGGCGGGAGCCTGAGTGGGCAGACTGAGCTGCTGGAGGCTGCCGCCTGCAGCCCCCGCTCCGGCCGGTGCGTCCTGTGGGCTGTGTCCTGAGTGGGGGAGCTCAGCTGCCCCTGACTTCTGGGAATCGGCGAGGAGATCCCCTCCGGCGGAGGGTGACCGCGGCCTGGCCGCCCCCGCGCTCCGCTCTCCGCTCTCTGCTCTCCGCCTCATCTCCTGCTCCCAGGGCCAAGCTGTCGTCACTTTCTCAGTGAAGTGTCTGGTCATTTTCAGAAGCAATTTCAGGAGAACATGCAGCTGCTGCTCCCTTCTGCCTTTTCCTCTCCCAGGGCCGAAGGCGCCCATCACTCGGCTGGGGGTGGGGGGACGCGGTCTCCCTTCTCCCCTCACAGTCCTGTGGTGAAGGCTGAGGAGGAAAGTGGGGCTCCTTTCCTGGTCCTTTGTTCTCCTGGCCCGCGCTCCCTCCTCCCCGTCCATCCTCTGTCTCTGCCTCTCTTCTCTTCTGGAGCTCAGAGTGTGGCTCAGTTTCTCCACCTGTTAGAGAACTGAAGTGGCGCCATGCCGACGAGAGAAGCTGGGGTCACGCCCCCCAGCCTGTCCGTGGCAGTCAGTCCAGGGTGTCTCTGAGGGAGAGGGGCGTGGTCACGGAGGCCTCCGGTCCCTGAGAAGTCCTTTGGGCTCCTTCCCTGACCAGCCAGCCCTTGTCTTCCCGAGCTCTGAGGGCCTCTGGACTCCTCTCCCTCGGGCTGGCCCTGGCAGCAAGCAGAAGCTGCCCCCTTCCATTGCTCTGGAGCCTGCCCGGTGTCGCCGGCCTCCCTCCCGGCCCCACCGCACCCTCAGGGCGCCGCAGGAGTCCCCATGTTGGACGCAGTTGTGCAGATGGTGGACATGTTCAGGCCCCTGTGTGCAGCGTTTGCCGGCCTCCCCCCCCCC